AGGGAGAGAGATTGGGTAGCACTTAAGCAGTAATCACACTCATAGTTACTGCTTATGATTTCAACCTGCATACTACCTACCCTCATTCCCACATCATAAGGTCCCTATAATTTGGTGGTAGTAAGGCTCCTTACTGCCTTTATAGTTTTTTCTGTATCTGCTCTTATATTATTGAAGTTCAAGGTATTAATTATATGAAAGTATTTTTATGTGACTGCACAATGGAGGTGGTTGTGGATACACAGGTTGCCACTAACAGCACTTATGAGGAGGGATGATAAAGGTTGATTTTCATCTCCACATGTATATATCTGTGATGTTAGTAAGAATCTAAATGTAATTTTATAGCCTCAACAATTCTGACCAAAAAGTACAATTCTGACCAATGTCGTCATCAGCTTGGACATTCCAGCTTCTACCCAGGAATAATTTCATAACACTAAGCACACATAGTTGAATTGCACAGGGCCCCTTCCAAACACCCGGGGAAGAGTCATCAGTTTCACCAGGTTCCCAATTCAATCTTTATAGATTTTCGGTTGGCAGAGAATGGAGATACGTGGTTTGAGGAAATGAAGAAAGAAGAGTCATTTTTACTACAGAGCAGTGGACCTGTCTCCTACATTCATATTGAGATTTTTCTGTCTGATGAGCCACTTGAATGCCAAGAAGATTCATGAGTGGCACTCTTCTTGTAGACAAGCATAATTGACATGCTTTTCAAGGGAAAAGGTCTACAAGCTGATTTCTTACTGTCACGGAGATAGAAACTATGAAGACTAGGGATCTTACATGTAATTAAGGTAAAATAGTTTGTGAATTTAAAGTTAAAACTTTTCAGATTATATAAGTTTGGGGAGCATACACTAGCATGACAAAGGGATACTAAGAAAGAAAGCATTTCTTAATGAAATTTGTATAAAGAGATAGAATTCTGTAACACTTGAATGATAACTGCCTGGTTTTCTCAGAGACAAATGGTAATTGTTCAGGAGTTCAATAATTTTATTGAGCATGATGCTGTAAGGTTTTTATGGAGAATCAAGATGATGGAGGAGGGAGTGGAAGTCACACTGACCTCCTCCCAGGACCAACCTGGAATTACATCTAAATTGTGGAGAAATCACCTGGAACAAACAAATGAACAATAGTGAGAGAGGAGCCTTATAACCTCAGACAGACAGAAAAATCAGCTTTAGCACAATCTAACTGGTAAGGAGTGCAGTAGGGGCAGGCGGGGTGCCCACGGGCAGCAGCACCAGAAGGATATTGAAATGGCCAGTTGGATCCCCCGAGATGATCGGGGTCTAAGCCATAAGTGGGGATCTCAGCCTACAGCACGAGAACCCAAAAAGTACACAGATAACAGCCAGCTGCGAAAAGCAGCAGGGTTGCTCTCTGCCAGAGAACAGCAGCTGGAGACATAGAGAGCCTTTTAAAGGGATAATGCATAAATTTTTTTTGCAGGCACTTACCCTGGTCTCCAGCAAAGGCAGGGGCAGAGTGGGCTAGAGATGCCTAAGGAGAGACTGGGGAAGAAGGCTTTGGGGAAAGAACTGAGAGAGTAGCCAGTGGGATCCTGTTGCTGACTCATCCCCCATACAGCAGCAGCCATCTTGCTCAGGCAGACCACTCCCCTGAGCGGTACAGCACGAGAGTACCCAATACCCCACCCCCAGGAAGGACTTGGCCCTGGCCCCATAGTGCTAAAGCCGGACTGCTGAGTACACAGTGGCAGCCACAAATAGTAGATCCTGGCTAAAGAGGGCACAGAGTGGTCTAGATACACTTGAGGGCACTGGAGACAGAGGCTTTGGGGATAGAACTGAGAGAGTAGCCAGCAGGATCCTGGTGCTGACTCCTCCCCCATACAGCAGCAACCATCTGGCTCAGGCAGATGACTCCCCTGAGTAGCAGCAGCGTGAGAGGACCCAATAGCCCCACCCTCAGGAGGGACTCTGCCCCACCCTGTGGTGTCTCTAAAACAGCCTGCTAAGTGCAGAGTCACTAGATTAACAGCTGAAGGAGACAGCCACAGACAGTAGATTCCTGGAAGTCTCAAACAGACTGCTTAAGGTCAAACACAGTCAACATCTGACATCATCAGAGGCAGAGCCAGAAGGAAAAAATACAGTGGTCTCCTACACAGAAGTTCACATCACAAAGTCAGGAAATCAAGACAGATCAATTTAAGAAGCAGAAGCAAAAAAGAAGAGTCTCACAAATAATAGGAAGACAAAGAAACATCTCCCAGTCGAAGGGAAAGGAGGAATCCCCAGAAAGAGAACTAAATGAAATAGAGGCAAGTAAACTATCAGGTATTGAGTTCAAAACAACGTTTCTAAGGAAGCTCAATGAGATCAGTGAGCTCAAAGAGAACTACAAAAAAACTATAAAGAAATAAAGAACTTACTGCAAACTATATCCGCACGAAAGAGGACATAGAAACTATCAAGAAGAGACAAGAGGAAATGAAGAATACAATTTCCGAATTGAAGAACAGTAGAAGGAATCAAAAGCAGCCTAGATGAAGCAGAGGATTGAATCAACAAGCTGGAGGACAAGGTAGGAAAAAATTCCCAAAAGAGCAAGAAAATGAGAAAAGATTCAAAAAGAATGAAGAAGCACTGAGGGAAATACAGGACAACCTGAAATGTGATGATATCCGTATAATAGGGATACCAGAAGGAGAAGAAGAGAAGGGATAGAGAACCTGTTTGAAAAGGTAATGATGGAAAACTTCTCTCATTTGAGGAGAGAAGAAGTCACACAGGTCCAGGAAGCACAGAGGGTCCCATTCAAGAGGAGCCCAATGAGGCCCACTCCAAAACACATCAGCATTAAAATGGCAAATATCAAAGACAAACAGAGAATCCTCAAGGAAGCAAGAGAGAAAGAGGTAGCAACTTATGAGGGAGCCCCATTAAGGCTAGCAGCTGACTTCTCTGTTGAGAAACACTACAAACCAGAAGGGAATGGCAAGAAATATTCCAAGTCATGAAAAGCAATGGCCTACAACCCAGACTGCTCTACTCAGCAAGGCTCTCAATTAAAATGGAAGGTGAAATAAAGAGTTTCCTAGACAAAAGGAGGCTCAAAAAATCCACCTTCACCAAACCAGCACTGCAAAATATGCCAAAGGGACTGCTTTAAGAAGATGAAGAAAAAGAGTCTATGAATACCCAGTTCCTTTCACAGTCACCAATACTTAATATAACCAATATTTTTAATACTTATTAATCTGATTGTTCTGATTGTTACTTAATATTTGTTGAAACTAAACCTGTTTTTGTATATTTCTTGCCTATTTCTATTATTTTTAAAAAGCTTTAAATGGCTTTTTGGTATTCTTTACTCATTTTTTGACTAAATGTTTGTAGAATTTTTCTCAAAAAGAAAAAATAACAAAACATTAACCCGTTTTAAATGTGTTGCAAATATTTTCCTATTTTATTACTTGCCCTTTAATTTTCTCATATGTATATTATTATATAGTCTTAAATGTTTAATATAGTCATATTGTCAATATTTTACTTTATAGCTTCTGAGTTTGAATATTTTACTTCAGGGTAAGGAAAATATTATTTTGTATTTTCTTCTAAAACTCCTTAGATTTTACATATTGATTTCTAACTCGCCTGAATATTTTCTGTATCATGTGTGAAATAGGGCTCTACATTTATTTCAAGTAATAGTGGCCCATGCACCTTCTTTGTTGAATAAGCCTTATTTTCTTCATTGATTTGAAACATCAGTTTTGTCATATATTACATTGTTAGATATATACATTTGTTTCTAGAATGCTCATTTTATTTCATTGATCTACTTGATTATTTCTGTGTTGGTGTCATGTTATTTTAATTGCTGAGACTTTATAATGGATTTAAAATTTTTAATATTTTCTAATGGATTTTGACATTTAAAAAAATAAATAAAATCAATCTGCATTTAACCAAAAAAAGAAAGAAGGAACTCCTACCTTTTGCGACAACATGGATGGAACTGGAGAATATTATGCTGTGTGAAATAAGCCAGTCGGTGAAAGACAAATACCATATGATCTCACCTATAAGTGGAATGTAGTCAACAAAATAACCTAATGAACAAAATAAACCACAAGCATGAAAACATGGAGCAGACTGAAAGTGACCAGAAGGAATAGGGATGGAGGACAATGGTGGAAAGAAGAAAGGACTAAACAAAGAATATGTATGAATGACTCAGGGACATGGACAAAAGAATGGGAACTGACTGTGGCGGGGGGTTGGGGGGGTTGGTTGGAGGAGGGCAAATGGGGAAACATTTTGACAACTGTAAGAGAATAAACATGATTTAAAATAAAAAGTTAAATAAAAAAGGTTTTATAATAATGTAAAATATTTTAAAAAGGAATTATTACTGCAGTAGTGATTTTGCTTTGAAGTAAAAATAACAGTTAACGAACATTACAGCTATGTAAATAAATTTGTCTATTACCAAATCAAGCAAAAGTAGCTAGATGAATCTTTTCCACATGTGGAAGGTATAACTTAAAATATTCATGAAAATCATTTTGGAGCCCCCTCTAAGAGAGACAGACATCTTCCAGAGCAGTAGAAACCAGGTACAAACAAGCTGTTAGGACTTCAATTAGGAAAGCTGAAAGTGTTTGGTATTAAGTGGCCATGGATGGAGAAGATAAATTGTTTACAAATATGAACCTTCAACCCAAAGCCACAAGGGCAGTCAATCACAAGTATTGACCTACCACAAAACTGCCTCCCCCAGGGACGACTCTGCATAGTGTGTTCTGTGTCACAACAGTCAGAGGTTTAGTTTCAATTGTTCATTAACCCAAGCAACCTGAGGAAGTCAGCTAGTCCTTCATAAAATGTTTGTCCCCATTGCCAAAATCCTTAGGCTCAACAATAATTCCAAAGTTTGTGTTTATGAGGGAAATTGTGTAAGAATTTTTAAATGTTTAAGAATTTTTTATAAAATATTTAAGCAATGTTTATAAAATGAGTGATTCTCCCAAGTCCCAGCTAACGCAACTCCAAAATTACTACCTTGTGGCTGACTTTAACAGTCCAGAAGAAAGCTTGGTAAGGACAACACAGACAATTTTGAAAAAGAAGATTAATTAAAAGGAAGTTGTCTTACCAAACAATAAAACTTTCTATAAAGTTACAATGGTCAAGGCAATATAGAATTGGCACAGAATAGGCCAATCAGTGTTACAGAACAGAGCCCATGGAGGTGAGCCCAAGATCCAAAATAAATAAAGATGTAATAGATCATAAATGCAGCTCTGGTAGGCAGAATAATACCCACCCCCACCCACCCAACTAACCAAAAGATGTACATTCCCTAATCTCTGGAACCTGTGAATATATTTCCTTATATGGCAAAAGAAATTTGGCAGATGGATTTAAGATTACCTAAAAATAGGGAGATTATCCTGGATTATCCAGGTGATCCCAGTGTAATCACATGAGCCCTTAAAATTGGATGAAAAAAGCATAATTACTGAGAAAAGAAACAATGTGAGAGGGGGTAGGAGAGATTGAAGTGTGAGAGACACTTAACCTGTCCTTGTGGCCTTGATGATGGGGGCATGGGACCACAAGCCAACGAATACAGACAGCCTCCAAAAGCTAAAAAGGACCCTCAGCTGCCAGCCATCAGGGGAATGGAGGCTGAAAGGAACTAAATGCTGCCAACAACTTCAAAGAGTAAGGAAACAGATTCCCCGCTAGAGCTCCCAGGATGAAACACAGCCCTGCTGATCCTTTGATTTTAGCCCAGTGAGACTGCACTGCACTTCGGACATACAGAACTGTAAGGTAGTACATTTGCACATTTCAAACTGCTAAATTTGTGGTAATTTGTTATGACAGAAGTAGAAACTATACATCATGGATATTTAATTATGATCAGCAAAGAAGGATTGATTTGCTAAATGACATCTGCATAATTGACTGTAGATCTAACAAAGTTAGACTCTTACCTCATAGCAGAATAAAATTAATTGTACATGAATTATAGAAATTAGTGTAAAAATAAAACCAGGAAAGTGTTAGAAAATATAAGAAAACAGTAAAAGAGGGGTTGTGAAGAACAAGAGTAACCTAGAAACTATAAAGGAAAATACTAAAAGATTTAAGTACACATGAAGGTGAAACTTCTGAATGACAAGACAGTAAGAAAGTTTAAAGAAAATATGGTTGGAAGAATGAATACACGTGCAGCGGGTACAGGTGGAATGCCAACAAATTAGGACAAACAGATGACAAGTTATGCTCATCCCCAAGCGCTGGAAATATGGATACATTAATTTTAAAATAAATGCAAGATAAATAGTCAACTTCTCTCAAAGCAATGCAAAATATAAGAAACCATTTTCTATCCATTATATTGAAAAAAAGAAAAAAGATTCATTCTGATGTTGTCAAGAATACAGAGGAACAGGTACTTTTGGGCATTTACTGATAGAAGTATAAATTGTTCCAGCCTTTTGGGAAAGCAATCTGGTGGTGCCTTTAAAGTATTAAATAGTGTATATACATTTTGACATAACAATTACATTTAGGTGTCTATCCTCCAGAAATAAAATTATCTAAATTCTAAGGATACCATACAATGATATTTTCTGCTTGTAAGAACTGAAAACAACCATCAATAGCAAATGATTAAATAAATTGAGATATCTCTTTACTGTGAAATTTTAAGTAGTTATTTTCATAAATGCAAATTATCTATCAATACCATGTGTCCTGTTAATCTAAAAATAAAAGCCTTTTGAAAGTGAGAAGCAACAAGCATTTATCTGAGATCAAAGAATTCGGGACATACTGATTCAGGCAGAAGCCCAAATAGTGTTCTGATTAGGAGACAAAGACAATGGGTATGAGAAATGGGAGGGAAACAATTACATCAATAGAAGGAAGGTGTTACTATTGGTGCAGATAAACTAACATAATGATATTCATTCTAAACAATGTTTTATTTTCAGTCCTGCAGTCATTATATATGTTTTCTTGTTATCTTTGCAAACAGTTCTTTGGGGCACAAGGTTACTTTAGTCTCAGCCCAAAGGTTATTTTGCCCTGTTTTCACCTTCCAAAAGTTTGAGACATAAGACATGCAAGACAGTTCTGGTGTGGCAGCTCCGGCTCCATTTTAAATGGGCTTCATCTATTTTTTGACAGCCCTATAGAGACCTATAATCTGTAATGTCCACGGCAATAAAAAGGGAAGGCAGGGGGAGGGATTAGGAAAGAAAAGAAATGAGTTATCCCATTTTTGTACCTTTTTCAGAGGAAAATCCCTAAATACATATGTATAGATTTAGGTAGACTTTACAAAGGGATGAGGCTAGACCAGCAGCTTGCACTATACACAAAAATGAACTCAGGATGGATGGAAGACTTGAATATAGGTCGTGACACCCTGTGGGTCCTAGAGGAGAACATAGACAGGAAAGTCTCAGGTATCCCACACAGCGATATTTTCACAGATATGTCCCCTGGAGCAGGGGATATAAAGGAAAGAATAAACAAACGGGACTGCATCAAGTTGAAGAGCATCTGCAGAGCTAAAGAAAGCATCAGCAAGGTGAGAAGGGAACCAACCGTATGTGAGGATATCTTTGCCAATAATGCCTCAGAAAAAGGTTTGATTTCCAGGGTATATAAAGAACTCACATGACTCCACATCAGGAAGACAAACAATCCAATTGAAAGATGGGAAGAAGACTTGGGTGGACCCTTCTCCAAGGAGGACACACAGGAGGCCCATAGACATATGAAAGGATGCTCAGCCATCAGAGAGATGCAAATTAAAACCACAACGAGATACCACTTCACACTGGTCAGAATGGCCATCATAGCTAGTTTCTAAGGATTGTGTCTGCGAGTCAGGATTCCCGATCCAGAGACAATGGCCCCGATGGAATGGAGCCTGAAGGCATCATCGAGAGCAACTGGAATGAGATTGTTGACAGCTTCGATGACATGAACCTCTCAGAGTCCCTCCTCCATGGCATCTATGCCTATGGTTTTGATGTGATCGCTCAAGCCCAATCTGGGACAGGAAAAACAGCCACTTTTGCCATATCAATTCTGCAACAGATTGAATTGGACCTAAAGGCCACCCCAGCCTTGGTCCTGGCACCCACTAGAGAATTGGCACAGCAGATATAGAAGGTAGTCATGGCTTTAGGAGATTACATGGGTGCTTCCTGCCATGCCTGCATTGGAGGTACCAATGTGCATGCTGAGGTGCAGAAGCTGCAGATGGAAGCTCCTCATATCATTGTGGGCACCCCAGGCCATGTGTTTGATATACTTAACCGCAGATACCTGTCTCCCAAATACATCAAGATGTTTGTACTGGATGAAGCTGACGAAATGTTAAGTCGTGGAGTCAAGGACCAGATCTATGACATATTCCAAAAGCTCAATAGCAACACCCAGGTGGTTTTGCTGTCGGCTACAATGCCCTCCGATGTGCTTGAGGTGACCAAGAAGTTCATGAGGGACCCTATTCAGATTCTTGTCAAGATGGAAGAGTTGACTCTGGAGGGTATCCGCCAATTCTACATCAATGTGGAACGAGAGGAGTGGAAGCTGGACACACTGTGTGACCTGTATGAAACCTTCACCATCACCCAGGCAGTCATCTTCATCAACACTCGAAGAAAGGTTGATTGGCTCACTGAGAAGATGCACTTCACTGCCTCTGCCATGCATGAAGATATGGACCAAAAGGAACGAGATGTAATCATGAGGGAGTTTCGCTCTGGCTCTAGTAGAGTATTGATTACCACTCACCTTCTGGCCAGAGGCATTGATGTGCAGCAGGTTTCTTTAGTCATCAACTATGATCTTCCCACCAACAGGGGAAACTATATCCACAGAATCGGTCGGGGTGGACGTTTTGGCTGTAAGGGTGTGGCTATTAATATGGTGACAGAAGACAAGAGGACTCTGAGACATTGAAACCTTCTACAACACTTCCATTGAAGAGATGCCCCTCAATGTTGCTGACCTCATCTGAGAGGGGCTGGCCTGCCACCTCACCCCAGCCAGGGTTCAGTCCTTGTGGGGCTGAGGAGGAGCTGGAGGGGGGAGGGAAGGAAGCCAAGGGGTGGACATCTTGTCATTTTTTTTCCCTTTGAATAAATGTCACTTTTTGAAGCAAAAAAAAAGAATGGCCATCATAAACAGATCAACAAATAAGAAGTGCTGGCAAAGATGTGGCGACAAGGGAACCCTAGTGCACTGTTGGTGGGAATGCAGACTGGTATAGCCTCTGTTGAAAACAGTATGGAATTTCCTCAAAAAACTAAAAATGGAACTGCTTTTTGACCTGGCAATTCCACTGCTGGGATTATACCCTAAGAATCCTGAATCACCAATTCAAAAGAACCTATGCACCCCAATGTTCATAGTAGCATTATTTACAATAGCCAAGTGCTAGAAATAGCCTGTGTCCATCAGTAAATGAGTGGACCAAATAACTGTGGTACATTTATGAAAGGGAATACTATGCAGCAGAAAGAAAGAAAGAAGGAGCTCCTACCCTTTGTGACAGCATGGATGTAACTAGAGAGCATTATGCTAAGTGAAATAAGCCAGGAGGTGAAAGACAAATACCATATTTTATCATGTATAAGTGGAACTTAATCAAGAAAACAAACAAGTGAGCAAAACAGAACCAGAGACATGGAAATAAAGAACAAACTCACAGTGACCATAGGGAACAGCGGAGAGGGATAACTGGGGAAAGAAGGGGAAGTATCAAGTCAAGGAACATGTATATAAAGGACCCAGGGACAAAGACAACAGGGCAGAGGATTCAATGTGGGAGAGCGGGGCCGGGCAGGACAGGGGAGAATAATGGAGGAAAAATGGGGACACTGTAATTGAACAACAATAAAAAAGAAAAAATATATATTGAATAATTAAAAAAAGATTTAGATATGTTTGAAAGAACACAGAGGAATCTATGGAAGGAAATAACTCCCACAGATATATTACAGCCAGCAAGATTACTTTTGAAACTAAAAAACAACAAATTTTCAAAAGAATAATAAAATACTCATTTTTGGTCTTAAAAATAATTTTATTAGTAAAATAAGATAATTTATGTCTTTATGGCTAGTTTTTAATATGAAAATATTATATTCAAAATACTTTGATAACTGGTTGTTCTGCTACATTATGAAACTTTTCCAGATTTTATTTGGCTCTAGGCCATAGTTCATTTTTTAAATTTATTTTAAATTATAGATGACATAGAATATAACATTAGTTTCAGGTATACAACATAGTCAATATTTACATAATTTATAAAGCGATCACTACAGCAAATCTAGTAATCATCTGTCACCATACAGAGTTATTAGATTATTGGCTATATTCTCTATGCTGTACTTTACATCCCCATGATTTATTTTGTAGCTGGAAGTTTGTACTTCTTAATCCCCTTCCCCTTTCTGCCCGAACTCCTATCCCCATTGCCTGTGGCATCCATGAGTTTGTACTCTCTATCTACGAGTTTTTCTGTTTCATTTTGTTTGTTTTGTTTTTTAGATTCCACATGCAGGTGAAATCATGTTATTTGTCTTTCTCTGTCTTTCTTATTTCACTTAACATAATACTCTTTAGGTTCATTCGAGTTGTCACAAATGGCAAGATTTCATTGTTTATGGCTCAATAATATTCCACTGGATAGATGTACCACATTTTGTTTATCCATTCATCTATCGATAGATATCTAGGTTGCCTCCGTATCTTGGCTATTGTAAACAATGTTGCAATGAATATAGGGGCGCATATGTCTTTTTGAATTGTGTCCATTTTATTTGGATAAATACTCAGAAGTGGAACTGTTCTTTTTTATTTTTAAGATTTCATTTATTTATTTTTAGAGAGTGGGGAAGAGAGTGAGAAAGAGAGGGAGAGAAACATCAACGTGCCAGAGAAACATCGATCGGTTCGTTGCTTTTGCACACCCCCAACCAGAGACCTGACCCACACCCCTGCCTGTGCCCCGACCTCTCCATCTGCAGTGCGACACCCAACCTACTGAACCACACAAGTCAGGGCGGAAATGGGACTGCTGGGTCATAGCATACAATAGTTCTGTTTCTATTTTATTTATTTCTTTTAGTTGTCCATGGCAGCTGCACTAATATACAATCCCATCAACAGTGCACAATGGATCCCTTTTCTCCATATTCTTGCCACCAAGTGTTATTTTTTGTTTTATTGATAATAACCATTCTGTCATGTGTGAGGTGACATTCACTGCAGTTTTAAATTGCATTTCCCTTACGGAAAATACTAATTTTAAGTTGTTGTGTCTTGAATACTAGTATACTCAAATTTTAAGCAAATTAAGTAATCAAAACATTCCATTCAAAAACTACAAATAAATTGAGGGTGCCTAACTCTTCATGGAATAAAATGATTCACCACAGAAGACGTTTTTTTAAAGCTCTTTGGTAAATTTAAAGTGACATTCAGTCCTTTCTCTCAACAAGGTTCATTTTTAAGGATGTCCTCTGCCTTGCCATTAGGAAATTGTGAGAGACCTCCCTGGTTCTGGGAACTTGAGGTCTTAAACTCTGCCCCTTAGCCAGTGACCCTGGCTCTGAGAAGCAAGGCGTAAGAGTGGGGAGCCTGGGAAGGAGCTGTAGATGAGTTGTTTCAGGTTGAGGTCTTACACTGGGCCATGGGAGCTGCACCTTTTGCACCCACTTTAGGGATATTTTTTTGTCCATGGCTAAACTATAAAGAGCTCTATTGGCTTTGAGTTACGTTTGGAATGGGTATACATTTGAAGGTCCTCTGGGAGAAAACAAAGGTTTCTATATGATCAAAAGGGGAACCCTTTGCCAAGTACCCCTGCTAATGGTCAGAACTTGGCCCAGTTGGAGGCTGATATCCAGGCGCTGACAGGAACTATTTTAAGGTCTTCTCTCAGACTAACGGGGCCAAAATGGAACTATGTACTAAGAATTTACAGGTTGTCTTGGCCTAGTGTCCGATAAGAAGATATTTGCAATTAAGGCAGGGTAGTAAAAAGCCAGGAAAATTCCTACGCAAGTGAAATGGAGAAACTGAGACAAGAAAATAAAACAAGGCCAAACAGTTTGAGTAACTTATAGCCAGCTGGTAAATCGCAAGAACTTCTCCCCCCGCAACCAGAGATACTTGAGAGTGAATGGTTTATATCTCTCCTCCCAAACCAAAGAATACACAGCTTAAATCTCCCTTGTCTGGGAGATAGAGAACAGAGACCCAATTGATGTCATTTGTGTCAGCTAAGCCCAAGGACAGATGAAGTCAGGGGAACAAATAACAAAAACTCCACTAAAAAAAGTCAGACAGACTCAAGACAAAAGTAAAACAGTATAGTGGACCAAAGAATATTCCCAACGCCCCGCCCCCCAATGCACTCATTCTGACACATCAGCATATTAAAAATGTACCTGGAAAGCTAATGACTATTCTGCTGAAACCCTCCCCTAAGATTCTCACTCAAAGGAAAAAGATAAAAGGCCTCAGGACAAAGACGCAGCTCGGGCTCACTCTAGAGCACGCCCATGCCCCTTCTTGGGCATGAACTTTTTATTTCCTCCGAAATTCTAAGGGTCCCAAGAAGACTTACAGCCAGGGCAACAGTGGGCAGTGGCAGCTTGACCCCGGCTTACCTCCTGATTTTGTCTCCAGGGCCCCCTTTTTTCTGCCTTCCAGGTGAGCTAACAGTAGCCCCATCTTGGCTCACTCCATTCCTATAACCTTCCTAGGGAACCAAAGGAGCGCCACCTAGGTTCTCTCCTGTTCCTTCTTTTACCCTAAGTCCTTCCTTTGTTTCACTGCCCCAGCCTTAATAAGCATATTCTCAAAATCACCTGGATTTGTGTTGTGAAATCTTTCCTGCACAAAGTCAAGAATCCACACACTACAGGCTGGCCTGAGGCAGACCTGCTCCGAGCCTATGCCTGTCCAGTAACACAAGGTTATTTTTAAAGGACTATCTCCCTAAAACAAATGTCCTATTGGTACTTACGTGAGGATCAAATTAAAAGAAAGACAAGATAGTATCATGGCTAGCCTAAGATTTAAGAAAACTACAAAACAGTAGACTTATAACAAAAATTAAAATCTATTTACACTATCAACCCACCTACCCATAACACACTACAGTCATACAATCTTTCAGACAGACCCCTGGAGAAAAGACTCACCAAGATCACAAATGACCAGACCCTTTGCCAGGTACCCATGCTAATGGTCAGAACTTGGCCCAGTCAGAGGCTGATACTCTGGGCCTGATAGGAGCTATTTTAAGGTCATCTCTCATAAGACTAACTGGGCCAAAATGGAACTAAGTTCTGCAAGAGAAAGAAAACATGCATAAACATGTGTGGAAGGATCTTGCACTGCACATTCCAAAGGGACACGTCTCTAAATCCAGGCATAGAAACCTTTCCATTTCAACTTTAGTTGGGATACTTCTCCTTGATATAAATAAGCAAATTCAAGATGATGTAGTTGGATTGGCAGGTGAGATCTTGATGGGATCATTGGGAATAAGACACAATTCTTCAAAGAATTAAAAACAACTATTCTGGTCTTGGCCGGGTCACTGAGGTGGAACGTGGTCCCATACACCAAATAGTTGCAGGTTCAGTCCTTGGTCAGGGCACCTACCTAGACTGTGGGCTCAATCCCTAGTTGGGGTGCACGCAGGAGGCAAGCAATCAATATTTCTCTCTCACATACATGTTTCTCTCTCTCCCCACCCCCACTTCCTCTCTCTCTCTAAAATCAATAAACATATCCTCAGGTAAGGATTTTAAAATTCATATATAAAAATAACTATTCTTGGTTTACTAATTAATGTACCTGAGAAGTGCAGTTAACATTCCCACCCAACAAATTCCCAATGCCCTTCTTTTAAAATTTTAAAGTATTTTTATTTTACTAAATTTTTTCCAATCATTCCCTCAACCTCCTCTCTTTTGGCAACCATCAGTTTGTTCTCTACATGTATGAGTCTGTTTCTGTTTTATTTTGTTTATTCATT